TTCCTCAACGCATCCTTCCTCTTCCTCATCTTATTCTACCTCATAACCCAACTCCAACACAGCCCGAACTCAATCCAGTTTCAGTTCCAACCCACGTCCAATGGCGAAAGCACTCCCATGGCCGCCGCCTCTCGATCTCGGCTTCTCAGAGATATAACCAGTAACGGTTGCACAAGCCTCCATGATTACACAGATTATAAAGCCAACTGTGCGTATGTCAAGTCCCATGTTTCTTGCAAACACAAAGGGTACATCAACTATCTCCAAATCTTCTATTGCACCTGTGGGAAATTTCCAGTGCTTGGTCATGTTCTATTCTTGCTGTGGCTTGCTGTTTTATTCTATCTATTGGGTAACACGGCGGCTTGCTACTTCTGTCCCTCCTTGGAGGGCTTATCGAGAATCTTGAAGCTATCTCCGACAATAGCCGGAGTGACCCTTCTTTCCCTTGGTAATGGAGCCCCTGATGTTTTTTCCAGTATCGTGTCCTTCACGAGAACTGGGGATGGAGATGTAGGCCTAAACAGTATCCTCGGTGGAGCATTTTTTGTGTCCAGTGTGGTTGTTGGGATAATCAGCATATCGATAAGCCCTGATCATGAGATAATAGTCGACAGGCCAAGCTTTATCAGGGATGTCCTCTTCTTCCTCTTCTCACTCTCTTCTCTCCTTGTGATTGTAGCCATCGGCAGAGTCAGCTTCTGGAGCTCCATCTTTTTTGTTTCAATCTACCTTGTTTATGTCTGCACTGTCTCCTTCATGCACTTCTTCTACCAAAAGCAGAGGAACAACAAGCTCTTTTCGGCTTCTCTAATCTCAAATAGCTGTTCTGCACAAAGAGATGATCTTGGAGTGATGGGCATACCACTACTTGGTTATGTCGATGATGAGAAATCCGTTTTGGTGGAAAATGGTGGTCAGCGAGATGAGGATGACTTTTTATCTCATTTCTCGATTCTTGATTCACCCACTTGCAGCTACTTGATGAAGCTATTGGATGTCCTGGAGTTGCCACTCCAATTGCCAAGAAAACTGACCATCCCTATTGTCAAGGAGGAGAGATGGTCCAAGCCTTATGCCGTTATATCGGTGACTTTGGCCCCGATTCTCTTAGCAGCACTGTGCAATTCGCAGAGGGACAATGTCAAATTCAGAAGCAGCACGGTCACTTATCTAATTGCAGGACTGATTGGCCTTGTTCTTGGTAATCTTGCACACGTGACCACCAAGAAGTCCAACCCGCCAAAGAAATGCCTCTTCCCATGGCTAGCTGCAGGGTTCTTAATGAGCGTCACTTGGACATTCATAATCGCGGAAGAGCTGGTCTCTCTGTTGGTCTCGGTCGGGATCATCTTCGGGATAAGCCCTTCGATTCTAGGCCTGACTGTCCTAGCCTGGGGCAATTCACTTGGAGACCTGATTGCGAATGTGGCCATGGCCGTGAATGGCGGCGCCGATGGGGTCCAAATCGCGATTTCCGGGTGCTACGCGGGGCCGATGTTCAATACGCTGATAGGTCTGGGCTTGTCCTTGGTGTTTCAGTCATGGTCTAAGTACCCAAATTCTTATGAGATTCCTGGAGACAATTCTCTGTATGAGACTCTGGGGTTTCTGATGAGTGGCTTGCTGTGGGCGCTTGTGGTTGTGCCAAAGAAGAATATGAGGTTGGATAGGTTTCTGGGTTGGGGCCTTTTGGCCATTTACTCGTGCTTTCTGTTTCTAAGGCTAGCTAAACTGTTTGGCCTATTGAAAGCATGATTGCTTCTTGTCTAATTTGAGTGTCCTCCATAAAGTTTTAGGCAATTGAGCAATTTCAAGTTTGTAGAAACCTTTTTAATTTTTTGTAATCTATACTGGTATAGGCTGTCGGCAATGATATTTTTTTCAGCTAAGGCACCTACGAGTACTTTAGACATACGATTGTCGACAATTCATGGAGGTTTGAGGCGCACTTTATTGTAGAGCCGCTTCATCATTTTCGAGAGTGCCCGCCATACAACATCTCTCCAAGAACTCGAGTATCTAATCTGACAATGTGTAAGATGAGAGAGACTAGAATATAAACATCTTTCCCATAAAAAAAACTTACTCTCCTTTGAATGACAAGATGGTATGAGGGGTGAAAAGGTTCAAATTAAAGATGCCATTCACCGCAACCACAATTTACAACTTACCCAAAATATGCGGCAAAGCTGCCCAAAAAAACACTGGTCCACGCTGCTTTAGCTCTGCAAAATCTACATTTTTAACCACTTGGTCATTCATTTGTTACATTGAAGTGAACCGTGACCTATCTTTGCACTTATTTATTGGTGCAAATGCAACCACTATGAGGATTTGGCTCGTTGACCCATCAAATTTGGATTATATATATACCATCTGGAGATCCTACTGTCATTCTATTGTATCCACATCTTGCAGCCGCCTCTTTTTAGTCATATTGATCTCGTGGAGTTTGCACAGGATAAGCCTTTGAATCTCTCTCTCTCTCTTTGTTGCCTGATATCACTCCCCTCAAGACAAGTCATTTTCCGGGCCCGCGCAGCGAGACAACATCTAAATGAACCCAGTCAAGCAAGGGCATGCAAGAGTTTATGAAGAACAAGACAACCCAAGTAAATGAATCTCCGGACCGACTCAAAAACGGTCCATGCCTCACTGACCCAAATCCAAAACCAAACTCATACTCATCTGATGAGCTTGGGCACTGAATTCTTCAACCTCGTGAAGGGTTCTTCTGGTGGAGTTCCCACTCGGGGCACGCAGCTTTTCAGACACAGAGAGGGTGCAAGAGCTCTTGCATCCTGGGCAGTGGCCACTCGGTGAAGCTCTCATCTGATTCTAGGGATCTTCTCTTTTAGATTTGATGAGGAATCATTGATTTCATCTAGATCTTTTCGGGTGCACATATGCCAAATAAACCTGACTTCAGGCCTCATGTTTGGCCCAGATTTCCCTCTTGAATGACCTTAAAAATCAGAGAAAATGACATAAATGGGCAATGTGATCCCTAGACTTTTAATTTGTTCAATGTGATCCATAAAATTTTGGCTTAATACATAATGTGGTTCTTGAACTTTTAAATTATTCAACGTGATAAGTAAATTTTTTGTACATGTTCAATTTAGTCCTTAGACCTTTATCAAGAAATGGGAAAAAAATTCCGAAGAGGAGGAACGGGTGCCCTTATCCCCAGTGGGATGGGAGAGTAGGCAAAACAGGCCAGCTCAATTCAATCAAGTTGGTCCAAAGTATCGTCAATGCAAGTGGCCTAACTGATGTGAACCAATCCTCTGCTCTGCCCATGAGAATCTCTAGGAAGTGTCAATGGTGTCCCGTGACAAGGAAAAGAAGAAAGCCAATCCCTTGAGCATCTATCGAGGTGGTGGCATTCCTTATTCTCCTCGGAGATACAAAGGGTGTCGGCGAACAGAAGATTAACTTACAGCGACAAGTTTGAGACCACATTTCCGCAACTTGAGAATTAAGTTTTAATTAGGCCGGAGACGTAGCAAGTCAAGCCGCTTTGCAAGTCGATTGTTCCATGTAGTATGTCAGGTCCATTTCGCGTTATGCAGTTGCTTTTCTCAATTGTCTGCGTCGGGTTAGATGATTAACAAGGACGCTTCAACAGATTCAGCCAAAACCAAAACCAAAACCATGACTGTTGCATTTGGTCCATTAGCTGAATTTTGAGAAATTGGAGTTTGTCGCATCTGCATTGTTGCTCCATCACATCACTGCGCTGATCCCCACTGCACAGCTCGCCTGGATGAAAATTAAAGGGACCACCGAGAACGAAATGAGACGACGTGCCAATTGAATCGCGTGTCTAAATGCACCGAATGTCCGAACTCTTCCTGTTACACCCTCCTGGTTATCCTAGTCATTCCAAGGAAATAAAATCTCAACACACCTCTAATTACCCTGTTTATAACCGGGCAAGACGTACTCTAATTACAAGCAAATCGTGTGGTTATTTCAGTTATTCGACAAGGAGAATGCCCAAGAGAAAAACCTGCTTTCCCAGCATGTCGAACCAGTTTTTCTGTGTAGATTTCAAATTCATTCTCATTGCTTAAAAAACTGAGACTCACCTATTCCAGCAACTGCCACAGACCTAGAGGTCAATCTTAGTCTAATAGATTTTGAAATGGGACGACTGCAACTGTAAAAGATGGAAGCACGAAATCTTCAAACGAGACCTGATCAATTGGTCGACAAGAAAGCAGAAATCTTGGCAGTAAAGAAACAGAGAAAGAGAGACAGAGTGCTGAGAGATCGTTTGTTTCCAGGTAGCGTCCAATTGGATAGCTCCTCGCTGAAAGAACATGTCCAACTTAGTGCCTAACACAATCAAAAGATGAGAAATGCATAGATCATCAGTCCTTATTAGAAGAAAGTATATCAATCATATGTTATCACAAAATCAATGGCATAAACAGCAACTTCACAAAGAAATCATTCTCGACAAAAATGAGCAGCTCTAAGCACTAGTGGATAGAAGACAGTGCAGCTGGAAACCAAGCAAATTCACTGGCTCCTTTAACTGGAAAAGAAACAAAATTGCTGATCACCAATTAATACAAGACGTTTGTAGTCATACTGCAAGTAAACAACACTAAGACAGTAGAGTCCCTGTTATAAGTTGTTCAACTCAATGGGATTGCTCAGCGAAACAAAAATCACCATGCTTATACAGACAAAATTTGCCATCATTTTACATCCCACGACTGTTTCTGAAGTGATTAACAAGATTGCAAGAGCAGATGTAAGAAGATAGGACATGGCACTGGATTCATGTAGGCATATTCATTGCTCCATTAAATAAACCTATATTTACTGAAGTACAAATATCACCATGACAAAAAATGGTAGTGTCAAAGGACAACCGATTGGTTTCCCATCAAAAGTCCAGGATTACTGAGTGGAATTTTCAGTTGTTTGTTTCATTGTTTGTGCACGTTCATGTGTGCAACAAGAGAGGGAGGGACCATGCATTAGACAAAACAGATGGTCACTCTATGTATTCACATATTTCAAAAATGCAGGCAAATTATTTTCTGTACAAAACCCCCTGGAAATCAATCTGGTAATGGGCTCAAGACTGAATGCTCAAAAGTGGAAATAAAAGGGTAGATTTAAGGAGTTACAACTGTTTGTATCACCCTAAGAGATAGAGCAACTATATACACAGTTAGCAGACCACCACCGAGGACCCTGTCAAGCTTCATATCCCTTCTAGGCAAAACCACAAGTGCCCAAACCAACCCGGCCACCACAAAGCCCAGAGTTTCCAGAAGAAGTGGATCTCTGGGGATGGCAACAGATGCTGGATAATTATGCCAGGATGCGCCAACGAGAGACAATCCCAAGCCAAATAACATGTTGAAGATAGGTCCAGCATAACACCCCGACAATGCTACCTGTGTCCCCTCGGCTCCACCATTCACGGCCATTGTTAAATTGGTCATCAAATCTCCAAGTGAGTTGCCCCAGGCCAGGACAGTCAATCCTAATATAGAAGGACTCACCCCGACTATATATCCAAGTGAAACAAGCAAACCCAGCAATTCTTGTGCTGTAATGTAACTCCAAGTTATGCTCATCACAAAGCCTCCAGCGAGCCAAGGGAACAGACAGTGCTTTGGTGGGTCTGATGACTCGGTAGTGTAAAACGCTACAACTCCCAGAGAAACTGCAATCAGAAATCCAACCCCATAGACTGCTAGCCTAGCATTGAAAGTGGCATTTTCTTCTTGAAAGCTCCAAAGGGCAGTCAAGAGAAGCGGAGCTAATGTGACAGAAGCAACTGCATAAGGCTTGGACCATCTCTCTTCACTAGCAACAGGTATTGTCAATCTCCTAGGCAGATAAAGAGGCAACTCTAGAATAAGGAGAAACCAACGATAGAAACCCAATGGTTGACAGTCCAAAGAACTTCCAAGTTCCAATTTACACCCATCTTCTAGAGTTTCCTCGACACAAGCAAGTTGTTCTTTTCCCAAGCCATGTAAAATCGGGATCCTCAAATCATCACTTCCATCATTCGACGATAAATTGCCTTCAATGTCGGAATTCTTCTGCCAGTGGGCATGAGAAACATAAACAATGACCACATATGCGACATACATTGACAGGAAACCCAATGCGCCCCATAGATTGATCTCCCCATTGAGTAAGATCACGAGCAAGAATAAGAGAACCAGCATAAGAAAGCAAACGTCCCTAACGAACGCAGACTTGTCCACACGAATGTGTCTTTTGTGCACGAGAAAGCTTATGATCCCCACCACGATGCAGGTCACAAAGGAACTGCCCCCTAACACTGTGTTGAGCCCAACGCTCTGAGTCCCACTACCCGTGAAGGAGACGAGGCTAGCAAAGACATCTGGCGCGCCGTTGCCGAGCGAAAGCAGAGTAACTCCGGCGATCGTCGGGGACAATTTCAAAAGCCTAGACAAGCTCTCGAGGGAGGAGCAAAAGTACTCGGAAGCCGTGTTCCCCAATAAGTAAAACAGCACAACTAGCCACAGAATCAAGAAACCGTAACCCAGTATCGGCAAATCCGAAAATGTGCAGTAGAATATGTATAAATAATTTATATAGCCGCGAGAGGAACATGGGTTCTTCGACTTCACGTACTGACACTTGGCCTTGTAGTCCTCTAAATCGTGCAAGGCCTTGCACGCGTGCTGATCGCCGTTGAGGTTGTTGAACACATGCCTGGCCTTCGGAAAAACCAGCTCCGAAGGAGAGTTCAGCCACACGACCAACAAGATGCAGGCCAGCAAGAGGCACGACACCTTCACAGCAACCGGCGGACTTCTCCCTCCCCGCATACGAACCCACCAACCCATCGCCCAAAAGAGAGAGAGGGAGAGGAAATTCACGACCAAGAACCGCAAGACTCGAGCCGAACTCCCCGACCCACGAAGGAAAGATCACCTCAGGCACGACGCAACGTGCCGGGCATCAAAGGAGAACGCGAATTCTGCCGCTCAAGAACAGCTCAAGATCGATCGAATCCGAAGAAGGAGGAGGCCCGTTGGACGAAACCCGACCTTCGGCCGCGCTGTTCCTGGAGATTCCACGGCATCAACGCGTGATTCTCTCCCTCTCTCTGTGTCGCGTCGACGAGCGGATGTGGAGCGGAGAGGAAGGAGCGAAAAGCGACGAGATCGTACGTGTGAAGTCTCCGAGAATCTATGGAGCCCGGAGCGAAGGAGGCACCGAGCTTTTTCTATTGCGGGAAAAGGTACACGGGGGTGACGATAAACACAGCACGCTTGTGTCGGCTGTCGCACCTGTCGTCCTCCTCCACCTTCCTTTATATTTAGAAAACGAAAGCCCAGTACGTACATGCGCGTGCAAAAATTTGTATGAAAAATGCCATATATATTAAAAAAAAAAACGAATATACATATATTCCTAAAAGAATTGAGCCGCGCCATTTGCCCGGAATTTGAATTTGATCCTAATTAGGAAAAATACCAGTAAAAAATTCCAAATTTTTGTTGTGTCACGAAAAATTCTAAATTTGCCCACTGTGACATAAATATCCCCAACTTATACATTGTAGCATATATACGTTCTATATTAGTTCCATCTTTAGTATATTTGGGTCTAACTAAAATAAAAAGAACAAATTTCAGGTCGAGTGACAATTATGGCTCCAACATTTTTTTGTCCCATAAAAAAATATAAACTTTCGTTTAAATCTCATATCTGGCCCCCTTGACTTAGGGCCCATTTGGTTCAACTTTGCAAATGAGCCTTCAAAATAGGTCTTAGAGGAATGCAAATACCTTTAGTTAAAACACTTGGGGAAATGCAAATGGCATTTGGTAAAAAATCGTTATAAAGCTATATTGGCCCAAGTAATGTTTGGCTTTTGTTTTTTTGCAAAGACCTTTGGGATATTTTTTTTATTAAAAAAAATTTACCGTTTCTCCGGAGCTAGCGAAGGGCTACGGCAACCAGCGAGCCAGATCTAGCACTGGCCATCATCGCCCGAGGGCGACCCAGGTTGATGGCCCTTGGGCTATCGCGTGACGTCAAGCAACTGTCACCTGAGTCGAGCAACCTCGCCGACCCTTCGCCATTCAGATCCGGTATCGTCGAGCCTCGCCGGCTGCCCTCGCACAAAGAAGACGAACAGTAATAACGAGGGGCAAAACCGGAATATTAAAGAATAAGTGAGGGTAGTTTGGGAATAAAAAAATTGGTTTCAGCATTTGCAAGCTCAAAGCTAATCCGGACCAGCTTTTAGCTTTAGGCGGTGAGTATTCCCAATGCTGGAAAGCCCGAAAATTCATTGGGAATGCTTGCCAAATGCCCCAGCAGTAAATGCTTAACCAAACGGGGCCTTAGAATTATTGATTGTCCAACTTGACTATTCCACCTCAGCAGTAAATCCACGTGATTTTGTTGATTGGATTTAAAGCACTATTTATTGTCTTTTTCTCTAAGCCACGGCTTGAAGAATAATTGTGAAACTATTCATCGTCTCCTTCGCTTTACCGACGAGTTAAAAACATTTCCAGATTGAATCTCTCCGACTAGACTCATAATCTGAAGCTATAAATTATCGCTCAGCAAGAGACACCATGGACGAGATCTGCCAAGCCCATGACCATAACATTTTTTCTTAAACAAGTGTGATTTCAAATAGAGAGTCAACGGGGACCAGATTTGGGATAAGAGCGAAAGTTTGTAATTTTTTACGAGACAAAAGAAAGTTGAAGCCAGAATTGTCACTTGACCCAAAATTTATGTTTTTTTTTAATTAGTCCGATATATTCGTCACACTGGTATAAGTAAGGGGTTTTTTATTTAGAAAAAAAAATTGGGATATTTGTGTCATAATTGATAAATTTATGGTTTTTAGTGACACACCAAAAATTTAGGATATGTATATGTTATAGTGAGCATTATTTATGTGATCTTAACCCCTTTACATTTAAGAAGAGAGTTACTAGGTCGAGAAGAAAAACAGAGAGAGAAAGCAGTGACGTGGCAATGAATTAGGTGATGCTTCTTAATAACGACAGCGCTGACTTTGGGAGAAGCGAGGCGTGGCCAATGAGTCACTGTGTTCTTCTGATTGGGAGGACAACAAGATTTAACTATAAAATGGATTTTGCTGAAACGGTAATTCTTGCCAAGTCCTCGCGAATATTTGTTAAGCAATTAATTTAAAAAAAATTATTATTTTCAACGCATTGATCGTCCTCTAATTAGCAATGACCACCGGACAATGCCAGCACACGCGCCGGATTATTCTCGAGCCTAAGGTTTTCCCTTGTGTTTTCATAAAATTATTAATTCAATTAAAAAATTCGAAAATGAAAAAAATTTCACGAGAAATCTAATAAAAAATCACAAATATTAGTAATGCATTGGAATTCTAATTTTTTTTATATTATCCTTTAACAACATCGATCACACAGATAGCGTAATAAGATTTACAATCACGAAATATAGACTGTGAATTTTCAACACATAAAATACATGCGATTGATAGTAACATAAAAGAGTGAAATTTGATATTCTATCAATATATTTGGTTTGGTGGCTCGGGTCAAATGTGTATCCCCTATTGTTAGATATAATAAACATCCTTCGACAATTCTCTCAATGGTAACGACGTTGTTTGTGCAGCAACAAGTGCCTCGTCCCGGCCTGTGAATCACGGTGAAAGCTCATCGACACTGTTGGCACACTACATGACGATCTATAACATCAAAAAACTCTCACATCTCCCTTCTTCTCGGTCGGTCACCAAATCGGGTATAGCGCGGTCGGCACCAGCCATACGTTATTCCGTTGGAGCGCGCGCTATCGATAAAAAGAAACTGTTAATGTTGGATTTATGAATTTGTTTAGAAGAAGACCCCATTTTGTGGCTTACCCATAGATAAGTACTATGTAGCTAGCCGGATGGTGGGCCGCCAGCCGAACTGGCCATCGATGCACGCTCGAGGGCCGACAATCATTTCGCCGACGAGCAGCCCATGGAGCCATTCGAGACAAAGTAAAATACACGAGGTGATTCAAGGAAACGTGCTCAGGAGACAAGTTGGAATTTTCCCAGAGAATCTACTTCCCTTAATCTTGTCCCAAGAAAAGGTTTTGCAATCGGGAGCCGGACCGACCGGGTTGGGAAAAATCACGTGGAATCCGGCCCCGCAAATGGACCGGCCTCGTCGCACATCGTACCGGCCCAGATCATCGAATCTACAGAAACTCGTCTGTGCACAGACAGTAACCAAACTGAGGAAAACACTTACCTTAAAGGAAACCTCATCATCTGAGATCTTTGGACATAACTCATGTTTCGTCACCTCATAATGAGCAGCTGGTGCGACCCCATCCGTCGGTACCAATCGACCCACCATTATTGGAGGCCAGGCAAACGTCTCCTTCCCATATCAGAACTTCTCTTCCAGTTCTGTCCCTGTAGGGTCGGGAGGGTCCCGCTCATTCACCCACAAAGGAGGAGGCCCAGAATGGTAATTTCACACCCACCGAAATTCCCTCGAAGAAAAGAAAAAGATAGGAGTCTCTCCACCAACAATTTTTATAGTTGGTGGCATTTTGAGGGTCCTTCCCTTCAAAGTAAGGAACCTGTGCTTCTAAAGTTCTAACTCTCACGCACTTCTCATCAACCTTTCTTCTTTATCTACATTCACATTCTCTCTCTCTCTCTCCTTAAAGGAGCACTAACCCACCATTGAAGTCCCTCTCTCTCCAAAGGCTGCTGTTGCAGAGTTCTTGAAGTTCGAATGATGAGGATCAAGCTCTTCATCACCTGCTTCATGCTGGCTTCGGTCGCCTTCTCTCTGCTCTTCATCCCCGCTAAACTCGCCATACCCATCGCCAGATTCAAGCCCACCATCGCCTTCAACCTCCAGAGGGCCAACTCCTCGTACCCGGTCACCTTCGCCTACCTGATCTCGGCGTCCCAAGGCGATGTCCCGAAGCTCAAGCGTCTGTTGAGGGCGCTGTACCATCCCGGGAACTACTATCTCATCCACATGGAGTCCGGTGCGCCGGAGCCGGAGCGGCAGGAGGTTGCGAAGTTCGTGTCCGGAGAGCCGGTGTTTGGCTTGGTGGGCAATGTGTGGGTGGTGGGTAAGCCCAACCTGGTCACCTACCGAGGCCCGACCATGCTGGGGACGACCCTGCATGCCATGGCCATGCTCTTGAGGACTTGTCGGTGGGACTGGTTCATCAACCTCAGCGCCTCCGATTACCCACTGGTGACTCAAGATGGTATGGTGAGTGGAAGTTATTTTGGGGTCCAATTTGCGAGCAAGTTCCGTTTGTTTTATCGTGTCCGATCGATTAGCTGGCTTTGCCCTCTTTGTCTCTGTATCCGGAGGCTTGATTGATGACCCATGCTGTTGTTGGTTCAGATTTGATGCATGCATTCTCCGAGTTGCCAAAAGATGTCAATTTCATACAGCACAGCAGTCGTTTGGGTTGGAAATTGTAAGCAGCAGCACATGTTCTCCTCTGCATTTGATCATGACCTTTCTTTTCTCTCTTTACTTTTTGGGCTTTGAGGAATTTTGATCAATTTGGTTGTGATTTCTGTTGCAGCAACAAGAGGGGCAAACCCATCATAATAGATCCTGGACTTTACAGTACTAATAAATCAGAACTGTGGTGGGTCATCAAACAGAGGACTCTGCCAACTGCCTTTAAGCTTTATACAGGTTTTTACCCTGAACCCTCTTCTTTTTTCTTTTTTTTCGTTCTTGCTGTTAGATAAATTCTCCTCCTTTTCAGTCTCTTTTGATAATGTTATCCCCAGTCAGCACGTGAACACACATAGCGACAGGAAGCACACCGTGAGTATCATAAGATAATGGGTTACTTAAATAAGATAATGGATGGGTTACGGTGAGTTTCTTGGAGGGCCCGTCTCGTTTTGATGTACTTGATTCCTCTTGCTTTTGCTGTGGCTTTTCATCATCTCGAAGTTGCTAGGGTAAACAGATATCGGTTGTTTAATTAAATTAATCCTGCACTGGGTCCAACGCGTACAGGTCCATAGTTAATAGTAATAGTCCCCAGAAATTGAAACCATTGGTGCATCTGAATTGTCAATAGCTGTAGGGGCCCAAAAAAATATGTATATATTATCTGGGTACCACGTTCAAGCAGTGTACTGTTGTTTTTTTGGAACCTCCTGAACCACTCATTGGTTCTGTGAATCCACGTGAAACTTACAGGGTTCCAAATTGGGCAAGGGTCAAGCCGTGTGGCTAAAAGTTTGGAAAGTCGATTCCATCGAACAATGCCATTACATCGGATCGTACATAATCTTGTGCACAAGATCATGCGATTTATTCACCCAAACTTACCTATGAAACTGGGGTTGAACTATCCTGTTCTGGCCAAGTTGCTGGATCCTTTTCCCTATTGCTCCTCCTCTAATCCACAATGCCAACACCTGATTCACTTCTTCTCATGGCTAATTTGGTAGCCATGCGAGAGAAAAACTCTGAGTAGGCCCCTTTTGCGACAATGTGGTTGGCTCGGTGGGTCAATTATAGTTCGAGGGATATGAGAGTTTAGTGGTTTCTTTTTAATGAGAGTTTAATGTAGGAGTTTCGTGCTTCTGATCCATGACCGGTCACGAGGTGTCTGCAGGGAAAATGTGGTTTGCTCTTAGCCGAGATTGTGTGACTAGTTAATGAGGAACATGAGTTTGAGAAGATGAGAGCTGGGATCTTATTGGACATGAGCAATTATATGTTGAAGAAACCATGATGGATATGTTCCAATTATGTGCTCAATGATAACAGAATGCGTGTTAATTTGATGCCATCATCAACACATCATTAAAAGAACCTTCACAATCAAATTAGCCTCAAATTTTGTCTTGACTAGTTTAATCGCGTTCTTTAGCAGCACTCGTGCGTACGAGCAATCTTGTTTTGCCTTACCATCTACATATTTCAAGTTACTTCTGTTGTTTGATACATCGACATCACTTGCCTTTGAGAAACCAGGTTCTGCTTGGATGGTACTATCCCGGTCTTTCTCCGAGTACTGCATTGCTGGCTGGGAAAACCTGCCGAGGACCCTCCTCCTTTATTATGCCAACTTCGTCTCCTCCCCTGAGGGCTACTTCCAAACCCTTGTCTGCAACTCTGAGGACTACAAGAACACCACGGCCAACCACGACCTCCACTACATCTCCTGGGATACTCCTCCGAAGCAACACCCTCGGTCGCTCGGCCTCAGAGATTACCGGAAGATGGTCCTCAGCAACCGGCCCTTCGCCAGGAAGTTCAAGCAGGACGACCCTGTCCTCAACAAGATCGACCGCGAGCTGCTCAAGAAACGGAGAGGTGAGTTCACTCACGGAGGTTGGTGTTCTGGGATGACGAATGGTGGAAAGCCACGGAGGACTTGCTCGAACCTGCAGAGCTTGGACTACGGCGTCATTCGACCAGGGCCAGGCGCTAGGAGATTGAAAACCTTGCTGTCGAGGCTTTTGTCGGTTAGGAATTTCAGTAAGCGGCAATGTAAATGAAAACATCCCTTCTTCCCCTCAATGATACAGAGGGGGAGTTATGAGTTTATACAGTGAACGCAGCGAGCGGAAATCGAGAACGTCTAGGCTACTCGTTCTCGGTTGGATTCGTTCTCGCGTTGATTCACGGGTAACGATTGACGCCGCGAATGACACCTCCATGTTAGAGTTTGAGGAAGGAGCGGTCCATGATTCACGTATCTTGAAACGTTCGTTTTTCTTTTCAATCTCAAAAACGGGAAGGCTTGTCTAAGTTGCAATGCCATGGACGGTTTTTACAGTGAATATGAAAAGGGAAGGTGATGTGCGCTGCAGGAAGTTATCTTGTGTGCGCATCATCATTATCAACCATTGGTGTCGACTTACTATGATGTTTATTCTCTCTCTCGCGCGAGGGGCGCCGGTACGCGTGCCTTTGTAGTTACTTTTTTACCAAGAGGATTAAACATTATTATTATTTTTTTTAATATGTTCACTAAAAGTCCTAAAACTTATTAGGAAAATATAATTGAGTCTTAAAATTGCAAAAAGTGCAATCGAGTCCTAAAATTTATCAAATTGATTCAAATGAGTCTTAAAATTAAAACAGCTAAATTTATTAACAGAAAATGCTGACGTGATTTGTTTTAATATTTTCTCTCTCTTGTTGGCTAAAATGACGTTATTTTGACCCAAAATTTGATTTTTAGAATTAATTTTATTTAAATTAAATATAAAAATAAGCAAAATTAAAAATTTAAAAAAATTTAAAAAAATGGAGGAGGACAGGCGGGGAGGGAGGGCCTACCCTCCCCCTGTTGTCGCCGCCCCACCATCGCTGGGAGGGGTCCGCGAGGGTGGGGGGACTGTAGGCGGGGTCGCCGGACCCCGGCCAGGGCCGACGACCCTCGCCGACAGCAGGCGATGGCACATGCCCGTGGCCCTCCCCCAAATTAGGTCGTCGGCCCACCCTCGCCGGGCCCTCCTAGCGATGGTGGGGCGGCAGTGGGGAGGGCAAGCCCCCCCGGTCCTCCTCCTCCTCCTCCTCCTCCTCCACTTTTTTTTAAATAGAAAATTTGGCTTTATTTTTTTTAAATATAATTTAAATAAATTAATATTAAAATAATAATAAGCCACCTTATCGCCAAGTAGGATAAAAAATAATAAAAAAGCCACATCAATATTTTTCCGTTAGTCAAATTGGACGGTATTAACTTTAGGACTTAATTGAATCAATTTGACAAGTTTTCGGACTTGATTGCACTTTTTACAAGTTTTAGGACTTAATTGCACTTTCGTGACAAGTTTTAAGACTTCTAATGAACATATCCCTTTTTTTTTATAGCAAAAGCTACCAAATCCATTGTGACATGTTTATTTTATGCTTTTTTACGTGATATCAAAATTTCCAAATTTGTATTATGATATATTTATCCTTTGTTAAAATTTTATTAATGAGATCCGTTAAAAATCTACCTACATAGATGCCATAAAGTAAGTAGTGTCAGCATAAATGATGCTGTTTTGGTTGAAAAATTATTTAACGGAACCTTGACGGAGGGTAAATGTGTTATATTGATACAAGTTTGAAGTTTTTTATGTTGCAAGAAAAAATTAAGATAAATGTGTCACGGTAAATATAATTTAGGATTTTTCGTGATTTTTTTTATGGCGGTTAAAAGTCTAATTAATTGTAGCAACTGGATTGGAATAAAACTGTGTTTCATATAATTTTCAATTCTATATACAATGCGATCAATATATTATTCAAAAAATTATTATTCATGATTTAAAAAATTACTTTCACGAACCAAACGCATTGAAAAAAACAATATTAAAAAAAATTGTTATGGCCGACTTGGATTTTAGTATTTTACAGCAGAGCTGTAAACGAGGCCCGGAAATCTCGAATTACGTGAGCTTAGCTTGATACCAGACGTTGGTTGAGGCGGTCTTAGGTAGGACCAAGATAATCCAACGGTCCATATGAGCTGGGCTCAAATGGTTCGGATGCAGGCAACTGCTCCGTTTCGGATGACATGTCATGGCGGGTCCGGCTTGAACCCAAGTTACAAAACGGGTGCGGGCAACAATCAGACCCGAGATTTCAGGGCCCATATCATATACTCCGACGTGTCCATCTCCCCCCCTCTCTCTCTCTCTCTCTCTCTCTCTCGCCGTCGTCAGGTCTCGGAGCTCCGGCGGAGGGATTTCGGCGCCGATCGCAAGTCGCCGCCCAAACGCCGGAGTTCGCTCCCTTCGTTTGTCTTTCCGGATCGCGAGGCCGGCGAGCCTCTCCGTCTCTGTAAGTGCGCGCGCGGTGTCCTTAGAACAAGCGTGGTTCTTTTGATTCATCCGAGCTCCATTGCTTCGAGCGGCTCCGACTTCCGAATTTCCTGTGGACCGAGTTTTTTGCTGGTTCTTTTGTTTCCCCGCATTACGCGGCGTGTGTTGTTGCAAAAAAAGTTGTGTCCGGTAGAGCTTCGTTGAATTGGATGTCTGACTGAGTTTCTTGAACATTGTTGTCCGCTGCGAGACTTAGGACAGAGGATTCGAAGGTTTAGGAAAAAAGAGCTTAATTTGATGTGAATTAACTGTCGTTGTAGATTAATTCCTGCCGAGGCGATTGAGGAGTCCACGGTGGAGTGCCCTCTTGCGCGAGGATGAAGAGGTGGTGCACTCACTGCGCCAAGTTCGTGGAGGTGGACCGACCGCACGATGGCGCCTTGTGAGTATTGTCGCTTCCGTGGCGGTCTCCATGAAAAATCTAGAAAGCGTTGGCGAGGACGGGTGGGGTTGACGGACTGGACGGGCTGACTGGTTCTTATTTTGATCTTTCAGAGGCTGTACGGAATGCGGAAAGGTGTTGGAAGATTTCAATTTTTCGTTCGAACCCACTTTTATGAAGGATGGGGCTGGGCAGGTTTGTTTTCATCTGTTACTTATGCTAGTGCTATCGTTTCTTTGCAGAGGCCTCGGGGCGGAACTTGTTTTTAGAATGCGCAATCACAAAAAGTAGCTTTTCTTGATCGTGTCGTGGCATTGTTTCTTTTGTTGAGCACGTGATCTTATTCGGCAGCACAATGACTTCAATTTTAAGTGCTAACGATCTAACAGAAGTACCACAAGGCAGTTGGCCTAGTGGTATAGAAATCATATGTCTTCCACATGGTTGCGACTTCTCTTCACGTTGTGAGTGAACCTCTGAACGGCTTGTGTTATGTGTAGGAGAGACTTTCTAGCTGTTAGCAGTTTGGCGGTGTTGTGTTGATGGGCTTGTCAACCTCGAACATTCGTATTGCGGGGGTACAAAATAGTCATGGCTCAAACTGTACATTTTATAGCGTGTGTAAGACATGGTAACGCCTAGAGGTAGTCATGAGTACCCCCTTCCCACCGTTGAACTTATTAGAAAAAAACCCATATGATAGAAGCAATTATTTTCTTTTGTTTGTAATTGGAATAGCAGGTAATAATGGATATGGGCATCAATTGTGTCCTATGGAATAGTTCTACAGTGACTTTGGTCGTGCTAAAAGATCCCTTCCTCCGCTTCTAATCAGAAGTCAGACTCCATAGACAATGATCGTATTTCTCTAGGCTCGTGCAAAAGCCCTTGATTGGGGCTGTAATGGTTGTTATGCGGTCTAGATTCTTAGCCTGAGGGTATGAAGTTGGAGGTTTGAATCTTGAAGCTGCTTTGCATGCCGGAAGCCTCTAAACGGGCTTAAGGGGTCGCACTTTAATCTTTCCTTCTTTTTTTTATGAAAGAACAGAGTATATGCCTGAAACAAGTTAAGAAGACGAGCTGGGTTAATTTCTTAAAATTGTGTTGGATCCAACTTCTTCTCTTGCCAGCACATAGTTTAGAATATGGATGCCTTCTGCTGCCATTATCCTAATGATCTCCACTTCTTTGTAGAGCCATCTGTCTGGAAATTATGTGAGGACAGTCCAGAGCGAGTATTCTGTTTCACGTGAAAGAACAGTGGACAGAGGTACTCTTTTTCTGAGTTTTATTTAGATCTTTCTGCCAACATTTTGCCAAAACTGCTTGTTATCTTGTGAATTTCATTCACTAAGGATTTATTATCGCACATTATTTCCTACCTGATAATGTAAATTTTGCTCAACAGATGTAGCTGGTGGTTTTCTTATCGCATATTAGATATAGCTTTAGCAAAACCCATTTAAATGTAGAAGCTTTTATTGCAGGTATTGCTGCATATGATCACTTATTTAAGCTCGTGCAACTTTTTTCCTTCAAATTCCCTATACAATGTAGATATAACTTCTTCAATGTGTAGTTCTTTAGTGGAATAGCTGATGGAGCAAGCAATTGCATCACATTGTTCTTTAGATTGTTTGATCATGTGAAATACAGGTGTCTTAATTTTTTGCAAGTTGTACCATAGTTCGCCTATTTATCGTTCTGGAAGATGATTAGAAAGGCCCAGACGACAGTCTTTATTTTTTCAAAATAAAATGGCATTGCTGTGAGCCGAATTGACAACAAAAACAACACAGGGATAGGTTTACAGGCTGCTTGCAGCTCGTAAAGCTTAAGACTATTCATGTAAGGACTAGTTGATCTCTGTAGCCAATTGGACCATTAGCAATGCACCCTCATGAATTGCAGCAGAAGCAGAACTAAGTTTTTATGTTTTGTTCTAATCAAATTGGGTTGTCGGTTGTGGCCAAAAGACTGATCACTTTTAACTGCTTAAGATGTTTATGAGATTGTTGTTCATCTGATTGATTGCTTCCCGGACTAAATAAATGACCTATTCATAGAGCAGAATCCTAGATCTCAATATGGTTCATCTGACGCTATGCGTCTGCTCTGCTCTGCTTTAGTCCATCTAGAATGTGTTTTGCATGAAACTTGCATGAGCAAGGTTGTTCAGCTATTGGGAGGTATATTACCTTCACTGGAGTTCATATCAACCGAAACTTCAAATCAGAAATATGTTTGGTCTCTCCGTGTTGGTTAAAAGTTGTTATTAGGGTTTTCGATTCATAAACATGACATAAGAACATCACCATAAAGACTAATAAGGGACTGTACTTCGTTTCTAGCACTAAGGTTATGTGCTAATTGGTGGTATTGAGGCTACAATATTGGGTGTTAATTCTGTTCTCTTGAGTACTCCAGAATGCTGATAGTGCATTTTTTGCTGCTCTTTCACTCTTGTGTGTAAGCCGAAGGACAAATCAAATAAACAGCTGTGCTGCAACTTCAACCTTCTCCTTTCCGTTCGTTCTTTCGTTTGTTGGTGCTATTAGTTGTCAGCATGTGTTACTGTGTATGTTGGAGCTATTTCTTTGTATAGCTGGCATATGTGCATCGTGGACCATGGTGATGACCTTTTATTATTTGGTTTTTGCAGCTAATGAGGATATGAAAAATTTGTGCTATGGTCTAGGGATGGATCAGCCTGACGGTATCGTTAGGACATCTCTGGCATTCTACCGAGTATGCTTTGTTTGAGTTACTAATGTTTCTGTTTTATGTCTGTTTGTCTAAACTGGACATTGTGTTTCCCCAAAATCTTTTCATGTACCTTCTGAAGATTGCACTGGAAAAGAATTTTACCAGGGGTCGCAGAACAGAACAAGTGCAGGCGGCTTGTATTTACATTGCCTGTCGGTGAGGGATCTTCCAAGCTATTGGTTTCAAATAATTGAAGTAATTTCATGATAATATATAGCGCTCACATACATAATTATTGCTCCAAATAAGGGTCACTTACCTTTGTTGTCACGCCATCTAATTATTGGTTCAAAATTTTGTGAAGGTTATTTTTGCATGATTGTCCTATGGTATTTAAGACACCATTTGAAAATGTTGAGATTCATTCTTCTGCAAGTTAAAGGAAGTTATTGTTTATGTCCTTTTCTTGAATTGAGATTTCTAAATATAGCATTTCCAATATGCATGGTACTTGATTGAGGTTGATGCACTTAGAAATTCCAAAGAAGAAACTTCTGGCTGATTTTTAAACGTTTATTTGGCCATTCATATGCCTATCCGTTCTTTTGTACTAGTAGTTTTAGCATCCGTTGCCTGATTTCCTTTAAAGTTTTTTGCTAATGTTGCTTAATTTTTTTTTTTCCAGGGAAAGCAAATTGCCGTATCTCTTAATTGATTTCTCAAACTTGTTGAAGATAAATGTGTGAGGAAGCTTTTTCTGCTAATAGTGCATGAATTTGATCCTTGTCTCTGGTTTATGATCAAATCTTCTTCCATTTTCATTTTTGGCAGTTACGTGCTAGGTGCTGTATTTTTGCAGCTCTGCAAAGTTCTTTGGCTTCATGAACACCCCATCGTACAAAAGCCTCTTGATCCTTCTCTTTTCATTCATAAATATACAGCTAGTAAGTACTTGCCATCAGTGCTGATGACTTAATGTCACTATACAAACTATGTATGGAATCATGCTTTTTATTGCCAATATTGATTTTCAAGAGAAACTTCTTTAAGTTTCGTTTTCTATTTTCTCAGTTTCATTCTGCAAAAATGTCTCCAAAACCTTTTACCCTCAGCTTTTGCAATAAGGAAGTTTCAGACGATATTTAATTCCTGAAGTAAATCTTTTGGTCTATTGTAATGAAAAACTGTGGATTAGACAACCGTATAAAATTTTTGATTGCCTGGACAGTATTGTGATGAAGATCTCTCTCTTTCGCTGGTCCTTTTGACTTTGTAATTTGGGTTATCTAATTGGTTAAATCTCTTTGTAGGTTTATCTGGGGGAAGGAATAATGAAGTAGCCAGAACTGCCTTGCGCATTATAGCCAGCATGAAGAGGGACTGGATGCAGGTGTGTTTCTTCTTTATATAACGTCAAAAACTGTGCATGGTTATTACTTATGATGGCATGTAAAATAGCGACTGAGATTATAGTTCTGAGTCTTCTGACAGACAGGGAGGAAACCCAGTGGACTCTGGGGAGCTGCTGTATATGTATCTGCAGTTGCGCATGGATTGAAGTGTTCGAAAGCAGATGTCGTACGAAAGCTTACTTTTCCCTTTTCTCATTAAGCACGGGTTTGAAATGTAGTTTATTTTTTAGGTACTATATATGTTTATCGTGTTTCCTTTATCATGTGCGCGCACACAGAGGGAGAGGGGGAGAGAAGGAGAGAGAGGGAGGTAGGGAGTGGGAGTGGGAGATATTTTGCTTTTAGAACTGAATGCACTTCTCAATGTGTTCAATGAGGTTATTTTAAGTGTGTTTGAATTTCTAAACAAATTCAAGGGCTCCTTATAATTGCTACAGGAGTCGTTTAGTTGATCGAATGGGATGTTAGTTGAAGTCATATAACTATGAACAATTATGTATTAGCTGGCCATAAACATTATTATAAGAACACATTTTGATTATCGCGGTCTAGATTATCCCAGAAGATTAGCAGAAATGATATTTTTTTAATTTTCAACTGTGAGTGAAGCTATTATATGTAATTTTTCTCATCTGGTTATGCCATTTCTCGTGAGGAGTTATTGTTGATGACTGGTTGTCTTATTGTTGATGACTGGTTGTCTAATTCTATGGATCCTGTTTGCTTTATAATGATTGCACAGCAATTAGAAAGTATGCTTCTGTGGCGATTATTCTTATTTTGGATGGTACTCTTTCTAGTGAACTGCTGCCTCATGTTCAAAAGTTTTGTTATATCCGTTCGTCGATCTCCTTTAGCTTGCGTCTTAGTTCTGCAATTAATAGCTTGCTATGCCAGTTATGTTAGCATTATTGCAAAATCTATTCTGTTAAAAGAATTGCAAATTCGTTTTATTGATGGACTACCATTTGTTGTACCTGAGAGATTCACTTTCAGATCTTTTATTTCTTAAGAACGAGATTGTTGAGAGGAAGATAGTGGCCAGATCTTATTTGTCAAAAGGAATATGTTATTGTTGTTGCATTTGCTTGACATGCTGCTATCTTTCCTTTTTTGCATGTGGCTTGCTGGAATTCTTCATCAGTTAAGGCTGGTGCATATTTGTGAAGCAACATTGACAAAGCGATTGGTTGAATTTGAGAAGACAGAGTCTGGTAGCTTAACGGTATGCTTCTCTATCATCAAGTAAAATGTAGCTAGTCTCTCTCTCTCTCTCTCTCTCTCTCTGTGCTTCTGGGTTTAGAGGGGAGGGAGAGTTGCGCAGCACTTTGTGAGTGCTCATACTAGTGACATAAAATCTGCAAAACACAAACTACTAACGACTTCTGAATGACATTGGTTGTGAGCAAATTGTAGGCTCCTTTCCCTTCGTTTTCAGAATATGTCCAGTTAAATATGTCCTCTTCTCTTATTTCATCACAGTATGTTCTCAATAGATTTGGTTATGCCCATTGTGATTGCTGTCAACAGACATCACTTGACGGACACAGCATTGCACGTGAACTGATACGACGCTTATTTTACTTGCCAAGGCGTGGTAAAACTGACATCGCACTAACCAAAGTTTAGCTCTGGGCATAGGAGATAGGGAGTCAGTAAATTGAAGTAATTGGGCGACAACAATATAAGCCTTGGTTTAGTCCTCCTCAGTCTGGCCGATCAAGTACTTGCCTTGCTGACTGACAAAGAGGCTTTCATTATTAGCCTTCAATAACTTATGGTTTTGTGTGACTGCTCAGTGCACATAAGGACCGGCTACTTGTTTAATCCAAAAGTGTGGACACCTTGGCACTTTCATGATTTTGAAATACCTGAATATGCATGGAAAATTCAATGCCTATTCCTGCTCTTCTACCCCTCGTGCCTTTATAATGTAATTATAATAGGATTTCCTATTTTCATATTATTTCTAGATTGAGGAGTTAAATACCAAGGCAAAGCTTGAAGAGAAAAGTTCAGCAAAACAACCAAATATGGGGTTGAATGTATCTGGCTCAAGAGAATTGCTTTGTGAACACAAGGATACGGATGTACCTCATTTTGCCATTGGACTTTGTCAATCTTGTTACAATGAAGTGAGTCATGCTTTCTTTTTTTCTACTCTCATGCTTCTTAGTCCTAGTTTTTTCCCAAGCACTTATGTTTTTATGCTTTGTTGCAGTTTGTGGAATTTTCGGGTGGTCTTGAAGGAGGCTTAGATCCTCCAGCTTTCCAACGTGCTGAGAAGGAAAGATTGGCTAAGTCATCTCTTGGAGAAAAAACAAGTGAAACAACTTCGGTTAGTACACGGTATTACTTTAATTAATGCATCTGTACCAATGTTGCAGAGGTAAATGAACACTGCAACTTTATGATATTGCTTCCTAACACTAGTCATCTGCATTATTGAAAACAAAGTCGGTATTTTGGTCATCACTAATCATGGCAAATGGGTTTGAAGTGCTTTGTTTAAAGCTCCAGTCTCCACCAACATGGAGATGGTAGGCAGTCTAATTTACCCCAAAGTAAGAGTAAATGTATAACACAGCTTTTACCCTAAGAATTCTTGCATAACCTTACTTCCAAACACACCAAATTACTTCAAAAGTACTGCACCAGAAAAATCCTTTCCTTCCATCTGAATCAGTGAATGTAGTATTCAATGAAACTTGCAATTTCTTAATATTGCCCAGTAGTTTTTTTCAAACGAGCCTATAGATGGTTGATGCTGGAATCTGTGACTTGTTAATACTCTCTCCAAACTCACTATAAATGTTAGAATATCATGATTTTTGGGATTTTCATCTGCAATTTGCCTTGATATGGATAGAAGCCTTTGCTTTAGAGACTCAAGGGAAGGTATTTGGATGGTGACATGCATAACAATGGAAGGATTTCCAAAGGAAAGGAAACTAGGTTGTAAGACAGTCCTCTCTCCTCAGTAGAGGAGAACAAAGGAGTGAAGATATGAGGACAAACGAGATCTGTTGTTTCCCAATCATGTGATATTTGTCTATTATATCAAGGGGACAAATTCCCCATGTAGAATGTAAAAGAGGATTAAATATCAAAGAGACATTTTTAGTATGATCAGTGCATTAGATATTTTCAGAGACTTCAAAATTGTAGATATGTTATTAGTTTGGTCGTCACAGTTATGCTGCTTGTCCACAGTGACAGGAGAACATTATTGGGGTCTACCAACTACCAATTTGGTACACCTTTGTTTGCTTGTTGGCTTTAGTGAAACTCTTTATAAGTTTGTTTCTGGAATCAAAATATGTTATTACATGAATCTTTTTAAGAAAATGAAAGTAAAGTTAAAAATTGTTGGAAGGACTTTGGAGTCAATTTGTTTAGTGAGTGTGGTTTACCATTTGCTTTAGTCATCTTATGACTGTACACATTTAATCTAGCATTCATTTTGCACGGACTTTGTACTTTCTGATGCTCATTCCTTTTCTTTTAGCATGAGAATGAGCCTGACACTCTAGCAGCATGTGGCACTGAGAAGTCACGATCAGCCGAGCCTGAAAAAACTGGTGACGGTTCTTTATTTGTTTGAAGAAATGTACTCAATTCATTAGTCGGAATTATGTTTACTTCTAAGGATAAAAAGATTCAAACTATGGGGGTGATGTGCAGATCAACCAACTGATGTGAATGATGGTTTTCGAGTGGATGAAGCAAACAATGGGAATGCTAATGCTGGTGATGAATCAGACACCCTCTCTGATATTGATGATATTGAGGTGCGCTTCACTTATACTTTTGAGCCCTACTTCTGTTCTTGGAAATTTAGACCACAACTATCAGTAGCCTATTGATACAACCTTAAAAAACATTTTACAATCAGCAGATTTAAGTCTGTTCATTAATATGTAGGGAAGTTGCTAAATTTCCAGGTAGACTTCCTGTTGATGATAATTCTTTCGATAAGGTCATTCTAGTCAACTTGTATCTTGGTAGTTATGTAAGGTTCCACCTACTTTCGAGCAGGGATAGAGCCTGTATACAGTGGGGGCAATTACTCCTGTGGACTTCCTTTTTCACCAAAGAGTATAGGCACTTTTTTTATATAGAATTCACTTATCCTGTAATTCTGTCGAACTTTGAACTCATTTTAGTTTCCATATACTGATATCAGTTTGCTTACTGCTGGTAGCTCTTGTGGCTATTTTCATGCATATTCACAAACTTATGAGTGATTTATGCTAAACAAAAGTAGATCCTACTGCTCTTGTCATGCATTATGTTGATATTTTCGTTTCAAAGTATGCCAATCTTACTTATTGTATCAACTGGCAATTTTTCGTGGCTCCACCACAACTTTCTAGCTTGTTGATCTGTTGTAATATGTGTCTGGGCTTTATATATTATGATATGTTCAGGTTGATGGCTATCTTCACAACGAGGAGGAGAAGCATTATAAAAAGATTATTTGGGAGGAAATGAACCGGGAATACCTTGAGGTGATTTGGTTTTTTATTCAAGCTAAATAATGTTATCTAACTTATCTTAACAGGACAAAGTTTGGCAATGGCAAAAAGTTGCAGTCAAAATTTGGATCATGACCATCACCTTTTGTATGATTATTGTATTCCTGTACATTTGGATGGATGTTTTCATAATTTTATCATTTTAATTGGAATTGGTCATCATCGTTCTCTTTTACTCAGAATTCCAAGGGTTTCTATCAGATTGTGCTACAGCTTTTTTGTTGTATAATTTGGTGGGATTGAATTGGAACATGTCTAGGTTGGTTAGACACCTAGTTCTGTTTACTCCATGTCGCGGGTAATTTTTATTATTTTTCCTGGTGATTCCCTTGCTTTATAGCTTATTCGATGTACTTGTAGGAACAAGCTGCTAAGGAAGCAGCTGCAGCAGCTGCAAAGGAAGCTTATGCAGCCAATTTCAAGAACACAGATGACTTCCAAGCTGCACAGGAGCTGGCCGCAGCTGCTGCTGCAGCTGTGGCTAAATCAAGAAAGGTTAATTTGCCAGTCAAATCCAGATACCATGATGCTTTCTTTTGTCAACATCATTATGTTGATTATCGGTTCTTGTGAATGAAGTGGTTATCAGTACCCAGAGAGTTAGAGCTCATGAAGTTAATCTAGGATCTCTTGCTAACCCTTAAATGATAGAAAGTAGAAACTAACTCAGGTTTAAAAGAAAAAAAAAATTAACGAACTTGCTAATTTTTTAGCAGAAGAAATATCGGCTGAAAAATGCTTTCTTATTGTAAGATTTTGTGGGACCATTGCCAACTATTCTAAAAGCTTAAGTTATTAGATGAAGGCGTGATTTGATATGTAACTATTCTATCACTCCCCCTTAAGCTTAGGTTGGTCTTTTTTTGCTTAGTACTAAGCGTTGATATATTTAATTGGGGAGGCAAATGGGTCCTGAAAAGATTTGAATTCAAGAACTCATGCTTTGATATCATGTGACATTTTGTGGGACTACTGCCAACTATTCGAAAAGCTTAAGTTATTAGATGAAGGCGTGATTTAATATTTAAATATTCTATCACTTTTGTTAAGCACAGTCTGAAATCCATCTTGATTCTCCTTAAACTCCATCAGTTTTTTCAGAAATGAAGTCTGGATAGGTCAATCTCCAAGTTTGATCTGTTCCGTTTTAGCTAAACCCGTGAGAAAATTATGGGATTAATTTTCGGGGAATGTGCTTAATAAGGTGCCCTGCCTGTAATGGATTTTAAAAGCTCATTCTAGCATAAAAGTTTGGAATCTTAGAGGAGTTCGGGCTCTACGCATTTTGATCTGAGACAATCTGGTGCATTTTCACACATTGAAAATCTTCGCATAAATCTAATTTTTGAATCTCACGACGGGAGCCTGTTAAACTGCTACTTCACGTAGCACTTTGATAATATTGAGGAGCAAATTATTAGTAGAAGCTCTAGAGTCTCCTCCCTCGCCTTCCCTCGCCCTCCCTGTGGACTATGGAATACTTGGCCACCATGGTCTGCATTGGATTACTTTCATTGTGCACTTGATGTTTGGGCCTACTCTTTCTTTGCTCTTTCTGATCATAATTTCCAAATGGATGCTCATGAATAAACCTCCTTATATGAGTAGTTCTGTTGCCAAAACGAAATTTGCAGGAAAGGCAACAAAAACGAGCTGCCGAAGCAAAGACCTCCACTCCTGCGCAGACTGCTGCAGAAGCCGCCCGGCAAATGCTAATTAAGAAGGTTGGTTTGCTGGAGAGTACTTCTTTGTTGTAAGTTGGGAGGTCAGGTGTCTAGTTTTTAATCCTCTAAAGATAGATGCTGTGAGAAGCTGGCTCGTGTTTCCGTAAAAATTGGAGCAATGGGAAGTAATATAAGCGGATCAGAATTTGCAAAATCTAGATTTTGGTGGTTTGAGCTAAATATATTCTTTTAAATCTTAAACACCACTGGGTGTGTATAGATTTTACTTTGTCAGTGCTAGATTTGCTGCAATAATTGGATGAGAGATTATTGGAGTGAGGACTTAGGCTTCTGACCAACTGCTGTTATGGAAGAGAAGGAACTCTTAGAGGCATGATGAAAAACTGAATTATAACTTGCCAAACTCATAAATGCATTGCTTGTTGCTTCATAAGCAAACTTCCTTCATGGCCAAATGCTCATTCGGTTGGCACTCCTTAACTGGGCATCGCAACTTTTGTTGTGCAGAATGCCCCTCGAACCTTCGTCTTTCTGCATATTTTTGGATAACCTCAAAAACATCTTATGAAGAATGGAGTGTATTGGTTTGTTATGATTGAATGATACATGCTTTCAGGTTTAATTTTTATTTCATTTAAATCTTTCCTTACATACAATAGCTGGGAGGATTGACTCGTATGACGGCGCTTTGTGGCATGTTGATAAGATTGGTGACAGTCATTTGAAGAGATTGAATTGATTGCTGATTTCAAAAATTTTCTTCTATTCTTCTCTGAAAGTTGGTTGTAATTGTATTGTAATTTAGGTGGGTTGAGTTGGATCTTTCAGGTGATGTTCGGTAGTTGTTACTAGTAGTTGTCATGGAATGCTGGAGGCATATCTTGAGCTCTCTTTTACATTATATTACATTATAGATCTGGTGGATTTCTGTGGAAAGTGTAGGAAAATGTTAAGGGCTTGTGCCTAATATTTATGGGCATTTGATTTCTTTGACATTTCCTTGAATTTAAAATATTCGCTGCTTCCACTGTGCTCATGCATGCGTGCAGCAGAGACTGAATAAGTACTACTGTTGCATTTTTTCATTCTTGTCCCTTTTCTTTTGACAGTGTTCCAGATAGTTGCACGTAGGCATGTCTGCTAGCTTGATATCATGCACTGGCACACAGTTTAGTTATCTGATTGTAAGAATGCTGCAGAAACTTTCAATGGTAGAGAAGCTGCATAGATTGATGCTAAATTAGATTGGCAAATGTGATTCTAATGGTATTAGTTCAGATAATTAGTATCACTTATGTTTGTGCATACACAAACTTTTCCTCTCAATTCAGTCTACAGACCCTGCTGCATGATTTATTCTTCTAATACTAACAATAATATTCTCGTGGCAGAGACTTAGTTCCAAGATAAACTACGATGTACTGGAGAAACTATTTGATGAACCTGTAAGTTTATCTATTCTCAACTCTTTTCTTTTGGCTTTTCGATAGGTAAAATGATAAGTTGCTAGTTAACATGCTTAGTGTGGAATTGCAATATGTTTGAGTTGGGGTTTCCCAATTAGAATTTTAGTGGACCTTCACATAGAGACACTCCATGAGTGGTATAAAGCTGTTTACATTTTTTGCCATTGTAGATTTTGGGTTACTTACTAGCTCGATGATTCTTGGGTGTCTTTCAAATATTTATATTGTTTGCCATGTTTGGTGGGAGAGGACATAAATCTCCTGTGTATTCTGTTTGCTTTACTTTGGATTTTTACCTTGGTTGTCCATATGAAGGACCTTTCTTATCTCCATTAGTAGTGGATTTTTTTACCTTGGATGTGTATATGAAGGAGCTTTCTTTTCTCTGCTCTTGTTCTCAGCAATCTCCACAATCCTTTATCATCTGTATTGCATCATAAGTAGAACAATGTTGTCAGTTGTCCATGTTGGCAAGTTCAAATGCTATTCAGACAAGATTAATGCTCGGACTTTGTCAAATACTCTCTTGGTATAGGAAACCAGGTTTAGTTCCTTCTACCTTTCTAGATTCAAATCGCGAGTCCATCTTTCTACTACTTGTGTGTGGATAGTAATGAAAGAACAACCTCGATTTACTATTTGCAGCCTCAGCTCTCTAATACTGAGCTTTCCAGTTCTAAGGATGAATATAGCCTCCCTCTGTGTTTTTTTTTTTTGGGCAATTTTGTTCAAGCAGACAATTATGATGTAGAAGCTTCTAAATCTAATCAATGATCAACGACATTGTTGTGTCTTTTTTGTCATCTAAACAGGTGATCCCAGAGAACCCCAAGAAAAGACGAACAGAATTGGATACCAACAATGATGACAAGATGCCTAGCAGCAAAGAGGTTGAAGCCGAGGATGTCGAAACAAACGTTGACGATGTGGGATTGGATGATGAGCAGGAGGATGATGACACTAAAGGAGCGGATGGTGATTTATATTACGGAAACGAAGAGGAAATGTATGGTTACGACGATGGAAATTATGATTATGATGGCTTTTAATCATATCCGAAAACTAACTTTCTTCTGATATTTAAAAGCCTCGTCTGTTAGAGAGCGAGGGTTGTGAGTATAGGGAGATCTCTTTTTGTACAGTATCAGTTGGTCGTCACCAATTTTGAGTTTCCCCCATTTGGGAAAGTAGACAGTTCTAGTTTGGAGATTTTGCTCCTTTACTATGTTTTTCTCATAAAGGGTAATAACAATTCTTCGAAGGCAAGGCTATCGCTCCGCAAGAGAGCATCTTGTACCGCCAAATTCTTGTGCAATCAACCCGATAGTATCTATTTCTCTCCTTATCAACTCTACTTCAAGTGTTCACTACTTTTATTGTATAAAATAAATGTTGGCATTGATGCTTATAGTTGGTTTATGTCGTGTATGAATATTGCGAAGCAAGTGGAGCGAATTGATACGATAAATGCCTCGATCCATATCTTATTAAAGATTGGATGAGCTTGATGAGTTGGGTGTCAAGATTCTAATGCAAAAGGAGATTTGCCAACAACCCACTATTCTTTTGTACATGTAAAGACTCTCTTTGATTTAGCATTTCTCAAAACATGACTACACATTCTTTAAATTAGAATTCTATCAAGCGAGGGTTTCCTCCATGATGCTTAGTTTATTTAGTGTTAGTGGGTTCAGTACAAACCCATGCACTTTGGGAACTTATTTAGAAGCAACTAAAGAGAAGATTGAAATCCCTGAGAGATCTTGTTGGTGTCCCACTTTCTAAGGACTCACACATGGACCTTCCCTCCATTAATGAGGCCTGATTAGATAAATAACGGCAAAGATTTGCTGCTGCTTAGTGTTGGGGGTACTGTGCGGTGAAAACATCTGATGCAAATTTGTACACGAACTATCTTAATCATTCTTGCCTAGTGACTCTGACTCGAAAGTAGATTAATTTGTTCAGGTTTAAATTGATGTTGTCACGTCGCTAAGTAGATTTCTATAGTAAATAATTTCTCTCTGATCATTAGATAGAACTTCAAATAGTGGGTGACTAGGTTCTTCACATTAGTCTGAATCTTGTCTAGAGACTCTAGACCTTAAAATTCATGGAGACACCATAACATTATCACAAGCAGCAGCTTTAGATGAAAGAATCTCAGATTTGTCACAATCCCAATTGATGCCCATTTTCTACTTATCCTCGTTAAGTACTCAGTTGTCAAAACTTCGTTGGGCAGGAAGTCAACATCTTAAGATGCCTTCCCCTTAATTGACTTTCATTCATGTGGAAGCAAATTTGCTTTTTTTCGAGGGGGAAAAAGGACTGCAATCAATATAATCAATGAATACGATCCACCCACTTACTCTGTTGCCCAAGCCTTTTTCCATTCGATTGTCCCAATTGTCTCCATACATTGTCAGTACTTGCACTTATCAATGGTGCTTCCGCGAAAGTCCCTAAAGAGGCCTACACATTTCAGAAAACCTCAGAAAGTGTTGCTCTCTCCACTATGATAAGGGCCCTTTTGTGTTGTAGCAAGTCCACTGCAGGATTAAGAATGAATTGACGGCAGATAATTCATGTAAGGAGCACATAATGCTCGGACACACATACTTTGTTCAGAGACACGTTTCATCGAGACACTTTTCTCATGTTTTTCATATATGTTGCGCAAAGTGCGTAACAATACACTTTTGAAGCAATATAAATATGTTATATGTCCAAACTTCAAAGTGCTCATGAGGGTTTCACGCCTGTAACAAGGCATTCCACGCGCGAAGTTGATCAGAGTGCATATAATATGTTGCATTTTAAGCGAAGACTCATCTTTCCAGAGCTGTTCGTCCTTTAAATAAAAGTAGCACAGGTTATAAGGCCAATCATCAAACATTTGGAAATCTAGCAAACGATGCACACTTGCGTCAATTGATCTATCTTTCTAAGTACCATGTGCCGTCGTTCACAGATTATATGTCACATTAGAAAGTAGGTTAAATCCACCGGCTTAATGATTAAACTAAACATACCCACTGCATCTTCACTTTCTTAATTCCACAACACACCATGCAATGATGGTACCTAACTAACCCTCATATATTTCCCTCCCCCAAAAAGTTATATGTGAGGCAAAATATAGATTTTTTTAGGTTAATAATTGAGGGACGAGGTTTAGCATTGTGCATGAAATCCATGGGTGACATAATTGATGTCAGGACTAGCATAAAGAAAGAAAAAGAGGCGACAAAGCATGATTTTGGGCGGTGGGAACTTATTGTTATGTGACATGCCTCCTTGTCATTTATGTCCAAAACGACAAGCGTTCTCGTCGCTTGGGCCTTCCTCTCGCCCTTATTTGAGTTTAGGTAGGGCCATAAAAGTACAAAAATTTCAAGAGACAGGCACTTAGCACTTGTGGTTGTAGACTTGTAGCGTGTCATCGTGTGAATGTGGTTACACTTCGTGGACTTTGTGCAAACTGCAAAGTTTCAGAGATAGGAACTAGCCAGCACTTGTGCTGACCATTTTTGTAATAGATAACTGTGTAATTACTTTAGATTTTATTGGAATGGTCACTTGGCTGACGTTTCGGTAAAAAATAATTAAATATTTACTAATAATTCATGAACAATATCAAATAAATTTAAATTTTAGGAGTCATATTGCAATAAATTAAAAGTTCAGGGAGCATTTGAATTATTATCTTTGAAAGAAAGAGGATCCTATGTGTTCAAACACCCTAAAGAGAGAAAGCCGGCTCTCGGAGGACACTTGTAATGTCTGGTGATTGTACAGCTTCATTTGCAATCAAGGGCCCATAAAAAAGAATAATGTTGTTGGTGCACAGATGTCGCGACCTATCCTCGGTGGTGCACCACTTAGGGATTCGGCTAATAGATTATTAATTTTAGGCTTAACTCGGGCTCTTCTAAGCCCTTACCAACTCGCGATTTAAGGTTTAAGTTCTTAACATGTAAATCATTTCAATCAAAAGTTGCCCCTAATCTATTTTTTGGTGGATCGATTAAAAACCCAAGTAAAGTATCGGGAGAATTACTTTACTTCTACGAACCAGAGATTATGGATTCGGGGACTTGGTTACACTAGATTACTTTAATGCCCTTTCGGTACCTTTTCTCTTTTATTTCAAAAAAAATATTTGCAGGCAGTTTTGATTGATTTTAAACATATCCACTAACATGCGAGGTGATTATGCGGGTGCGCAATCAATAATATAACACTCAATAGTGCAAAGCAATAAATAAATTGCAAGATAGGAACTTACCTCAAAACAACGAAAGCATATGTAATATTAGCTAGAAAGTCACATAATCATCCTAAATATGATTTCTAATTAACATGCAATTCCACTCAAATATTTTTTTAGGATTTTCTCTCATTTAAATGAGAACTAACCTATATGCAATGCATGTAAAGCAATTATTCTAATGCGATGACGTACAAAGCATGTCTATTCTAACATGACACGCAGCAATTAAATGACCTATCATGCAATTTCTAATGACGGGTAAAATTGGTATGCAACTATTCTAGCATGACATACAATTTCATGAACCTAACATATAATCACTAAATGACATGTAAGCAATGACACGGCGGGTTGTGAATGACGTGGCAAGATGACAATGGAACAAAGCATACGTGACACTTAGTAATGACGTGGCAGTGATGATGCAAACATGATGCAATTAATCTATATGACATGCACATGATACTTTTTTTTTGTATTTTCCATTGAAATTCGAAATTATAAAATGATGAAAATTCATTATCTAGTGCAAGATATTATCCAATTCATTTTAGGAATTAAACTAAGCCAAATCCTAATTTAAATCGGAATGTTATCCTAACTAGATAAACCCTATCCTAGCATGCAATCTATCTAGAGTGGAAAGATTTTAACCTATAGTCTAATTTATTTTAAAAGATGATCTAAAATCTATTTAAACATGCAATGTTATCTATTAAAACTAACCTTGATCCTATCTAATCTTTTTGGGATTTTTTTTTGGTAACATAGAATAAAATCAAATCAAAATAAAGATCAAACCAAAATAAAAAATAGCATCCAATCACCCAAGATATCATCCACATCCATTTAAATTTGGAAAATAAATCGACAAATCGTATCCTGCGCATGAGGATCATATTGGCCAATTTTCCATGTAGTTGCGAATCATATCTCGAGCGTGAGATCGGATTGATGACCAATTTTGTGTGCAATCGCGAAGCATATCTCGGGCAGAAGATCGGATTGACAATTTTCCGTGCGATCGCGAGTCGTATATCGGGCATGAAATCATATTGGCAATCATATACACGTTGTGAAATTAGGAAAATATCCCAATTCATGGACTCTGAAAAGATTTTTGGATATGACAATATTGACACAGCACATAATTGAGATCACAATAAACTCAAATTAGGCAATTTAATATATCGTAATTGAATTGAATAATGTATTACCTAATTCGAAATATTGAACGGGTAACGTATTCGAATTTGAACGACAGACGGGACTTGTGGTGCTCGACGGCAGTGGGTCAGATGACGACGGGCCAGTGATGAGGCTCGACTGGATCGCGGCCAGCAACTCGACTCGGGCTGCTCGCAATGGGGTGCTCACGACGGAGCTCGGCTTGGATCAACAGCTCGTCACCTTGGCATGCGGTGTGGTGCTCAGCCAAGGTGATGGTGCGGCCGACCGTGAGGCTGGCTGAGTTAACATCAAGGAATCTCTGCGTGACGGTGCAAGGCAAAGCCGAGAGCTGGATACCGTGGAATCGCCTAAGAAAATTCGCTTGTAATTGCGATCGATCACCGCGAAAGCTGCTGGACAAACGTTGAAGGCAGCGTCGGGATTGGACTACAATTTGACTTGAGAAAACCTGCAACGAGAATGATTCAGCTGTGGCTAAAGCAGTGACTTGGCGAGGACAATCTCGGACACGTTGGGAAAACCGGTTCTAAAACCGGTCCGGGTGGGTTTTCACTTGGCGAGGACAATCTCAATGCTAGATTCCTGAAGAGTTACAGACTTCTTATTCTATGATTGTTGGTCCTATATTGTTGTAAAATTTGTCTTCTGTAGATTCTTTACTTTGTATAGTTTAATTTCAGTTGATGGATCAAGACAAAGACATATCGATGGAAGTGGATGGATATAATGAAATGAGTCCTCTCATGGAATTGCCATTCCATGAAGCTACAGAAGTGGACTCTACAACTGTGAGTGCGACAAACAAGGTGAGGGTACCTAACTTTTGAAACCAGAAAAAAAAAAACAGGTTATCGGGTAGACCCTGGAACCGGACCGGAAAAACAGGGTAGGTTCCAAAACAGGGTCTAGGGAAAACATGGTAGGTTCCAGGTTCCAAAAACTGGGAACCGGTTGTAACAGGGTAGGTTCCAGATTCCAAGTCTAGACCCCACCCACCCTAGAACCGATCACCCCTAGAAAACGGGATCGATCCCTAATTTTTTGGCAACGAATGACTAACTGGGTCACCAAAATTTAGGTGTCAACAACAGATTAAGTTAATGATACTACGAAAAGGATACATGGAAAAATAGTAATGAAGTAAGAGAGTTAGGCCAGTGGGAACTCAAAGCCCATCTTATACAAGTGGAAGTCGACTTTGTGGTTGGAGAGAAAGATTAACTTTTCTTTCTGGTGGCATTGAAAATTCAATCAAACATTATATTATATACAAAAAATGAAGAAATTCCCATTGATATTCCTCTGTCTCTCTCTCTCTCTCTCTATAAAGAGTTCCATCTCGCCGCAAGCATTTTTCTCACATGCCCATCACCAGACTTCACCTACCCGACTTTGCTTTCCCGATATCACCAAAAAGCATTTACCTATTCTCAACCTCGAAGACATGGCACAGCACAAGTCCACCATTGCTGCTGCGAGGCTCCTGGTGCTGTTTCTGGGCTTCTCTTGCCTTCTCTCATCTCTTGCGGTTCCTTCAACTAGTAAGGCTCGGGTTTGAGGATTTGGGAGATGTTCCTGAGTTAGCCTTTTGTTGTTTCTGTAGATTGGGCAGTTCTTGATGCTTTTGAATTGTTGTTCTGTTTCGCAGGGAGCTTCAAGTCAAGCAGGGAAGAGGATGATGATGAAGTATCAGCTCCTGACTTGTTAGCTCAGGTTCTCTCTCTCTCTCTCTCTCTCACCTGCCTGAAAGTTAATTAGAAATCAAGCTTCCTATGAATTTAATTGTAAAGTACAGAGAAAACTCGGGATTTCATCCCAAACAAACCTTTCATCCTTCTGTTTATTGATCTTCTCTGTTTTAATCTGGGGCCTAGTGGCTTGCTATGAACATGGTGAAAGCCTTGCCTTTTCTTCTGAGCATCTCTCTGTTTTTATTGAATCCAGCACACCCAATTTAGGCCTTTGCACAATTTCTACAAAACTCTAGAGATGTTTGTGAGATAAATGGATAAAGAGTATGGAAACATGCATGATCCCGCCGTCCCACTCAATGTGACCTTGACGGTGGGGAGCCTCACCTTATGCACTCGGACCAGTCTGCGTGCATTTGAGAGATTTTTTTCGATTCGAAAGATTTAGATACCACGTGTCACAAGGCTTATTTGGATTTGGTACTCAAGAAACTCTTAGGTCCGGTGGATCTCACACCCACGAGACGCTGCAATACTTGTAGTTCTCTGTCTCTCTCTCTCTGTAATTTCTAGACGTACCCATATATTGCTCTGTTTAGACACAAGCAGACGCTGATGAGGCGTGATATTGCCAAAACTGCAGGATGAAAAATTGGGAATGAGAGAAGGAGATGAGACGGTGTTTATGGAGAGGAGGATGGAGATGAAAAGCAATGATTATCCTGGAACAGAAGCCAACAACCACCATGACCCAAGAACTCCCGGAAGAGCCTGAAGTGTCTCTTTCTATATCTATATAACTACTGTATATGTATATTCACATGTATAATCTAATGAAGGGAGAGAGAGGGTCAAAGAGAGAGTTGGGATTTTTCCTTTCCTTTTCTTTTGTTTATGTCTTTTTTTTCCTCTCTTTCTTGGGGTTGAAGCTTCTCTGTGTTGGTGTTGTTGGGCATATGAGAATGTCTTGTCATTTTGCAGAAAACAGATGTTGTAGTGGTCTTGACTAAATACAAAATGGTGGGCTCACCCCCCTGACAAGTTCGCAATGCGGATTTGACTTTCCATGTCTCTCGGGTGTGTGTGTAAAGGGTCAACTTTTCATGTGCCTGTGTGGTGTTTTCTGCAATTAAATATTTGCCTAATCTATGATTGCATTGGAAATTATGACCCCAGCTAAATCGTAAAACAAAAGGAAAAGGAGGAACAAAGAAAGTCATAGACAAATTCATTCTACCTTTGTCATGATGGACATGGAAAAACGATAAACGATGGAAAAATGATACAAATAATCTCTGAATTTTGATCCAATGTTCAATCTCGTCCCTGAACTTTCAATTTATCCAAAATAGTCCCTGAATTATGGATAAATGTTCAATCTAGTCCTTCCGTTTGTTCAAATTGTTAACTGATGACGTGGACCGTTAACTGATGATGTGGAGTTGAGTTGGATTACTAAATAATGATCCAACAAGTATTTTACAAAAGAAAAACAAATTAGGGCTTCCAATAACCCTCTTCTTCAGCCTCAACGATTCTTCAATGATTCTTCTTCATCTCAACATCAGACTTCTCAAAATGCTTGGATCGATACTGAAACGAAGAGGGTTGGGTTGAGGTCGATCCTGGCAACGATTCGAATCTTGGGGTCTTGGAGGGCGCGTCACTGCCTGTGCATGATCCGCTCAATCATAAATAAAAATGAGGGAAGGAAGTGAGAACCGTGTGAGCATCGAGGAATTAAAATCTCGGAAGAGCTCATGTTTTGTATAGCTTGAACGCGAGTTTGTGTTTGGTATACTTTTTTGGTTCTGGAATTTTGCTTCTTCTTTTTTGTGGGTTGAAGGACTTGCTTCTTTTTTTTTTGTGGGTTGAAGGACTTGCTTCTTAGAAGCCAAAAAATTGATTGACCAAAATTTCAGAAACAAAAAAGCAAGAAGGCATACAACAGTCGAAGAAAGAAAATGAACAAAAAGTGGAGATGAAGACTCAATTTGACACCTGAAGCTGAAATCCTGTGTGGTGATTTGGCACTGAGGTAAGTGTCACTAGACACTGTCTTTTGTGGGTTGAAGGACTTGAGCTTGCTTTGAACAGCGACTCTATCTTGTCACATGGAAGACGTTACCCTGTACCCGGTATGTTGTCTCGTGCGTAATGCTTCCAATGAAGACTCGGGTCTGTACATGTGAGAGTTTTGCAAGGACGACGTGTCCATGGAGGAGCGTAGTCATGATGTAAAGTGGGAATAGTTTATTTGTGCATGTTGTGCTTGCAATGCCCTATGAGAGTATTAAAACAATATTGAGTGCACCGTAAGTTTTGTTATAATGTGGTCCAAACTTGCCGAAGTTTTAGATTGTAGCTTTTTCATGGCTTTTCAGACGTGGCCCTCATTTGTGTTTGTTTTCTTGTCTTTAGATTATACTTTTGGTGTTTATTTGTTTATATTGTATAGACAATAGAAATAGATTGACTGGTGTCCTTTATCTTTTTTAGTCTAGCTGATTTTTATGTTTATATTTTTGTAGATTTACATGGCTGATGAAACATTCCGATTTACTCTATGGGTTGGAGGTAGGTTTGTTCGTGATAGAAAAGTAGAGTATGTTGATGGTCATAGTAGTGAGTGGCTTTATGATCCAAACAAGCTGAGCTACTTTGAGATTTTGCACTTGTTACAAGATATGGGTTACTCTAATATTGAGAAATTCTACTATTTAATGCCAGGTAAGAATTTTGAGAATGGTCTAAGATTAATTGAAGATGACACTTCAGTATAGGAAATGATGGGTCTTTGGGCAAATATTGGTGGTACATGTGAGATATTTATTGAACATGGTAAAGACATGAGTGCTGGCGTTGGTGATGGGTTAGTGGGGGGGATTGATGAACGTAGAAGAAGATGAAGGAATTTTTTTTTTTGGTAAGGAAGATGAAGATGAAGGAGTTTTAATGCCTATTGATGGGCAAAATCATGAAATTGAAGAGAATGATGAGCTTGTTGAGGTCCCATGGTTATTTGACAATGAAGAAGAAGAACTTCAAGTGGCTAGGGGAAAAATTAGAACTTTTAAGGGAGAAAATGCATAAAGAGTTGCTAGGTTGCTGGAGATACCTAGTGAAATAGATGTTGAAGTAGAACGAAGATGAGGGAGGAAAGAGGCTATAACAACCCATTGTGAAGATAATGTTGAGATTGAGATTGAATGCCTTGACTCAAGTGATTCTAATTGGAGCTTTGTCACGAGTGATGAAGAAGAACAAGAGATAGAGGAGGTTCTTAGAAGGAAAAGCACACATGCATAGTATGATGAAACCACAGAGATATCTCACTTTGCACTGAATATGGTATTTGATGGCCCTAAGCAGTTTAAGGAAGCTATCAACAAATATGCAGCCACCAGAAGAGTTAATATTGATTTTATCAAGAATGATAAGGTGAGAGTTAGGGCCAAATGTAAATCTAAAAATTGTAACTGGTTAATTTATGCAGCTGGAGATAATAAGACAAACTTGTTTACAGTGAAAACTTTCAAGGATGAGCACACGTGCTCTTGGTCTTTTCAAGTGAGGAGGTTTACATCTACGTACATGGTGAAACATTATCTAAGCTTATGGAGGGCATCTCCTTCAATGAAGTTGCAGGAGTTCAAGAAAATTGTGCGAGAGCAAAGAAGCTTAGATGTCACTATAAGCCAATGTAGAAGGACTAAGCGAAGGGTAATCGAAAAACTAAACGGGATGTACTCCTATGAGTTCACTAGGTTATGGAATTATTGTGAAGAAATTATTCATAGAAATCCTCGAAATACTGTGAAGTTAAAGTTCATAAGAGAATCACCAAATTCAAGACCCATCTTCCAATGATTTTATGTTTGCTTTGATGCAGTGAGAAAGGGATTCTTGAAGGTTGCAGACCTTTAAAAGGGTTGTATGGATGTTTCTTAAAAGGAATGTTGAAGGGTGAGTTATTGATTGTTGTGGGGAGGGATGCAAATAATCAAATGTACCCTATCGCATGGGCCGTTGTTGAGGTCGAGAATAAGGATTCATGGGGCTGGTTTGCAAAGGCCTTGAAGAATGATCTTGGCACAAAGGATGGTGTAGGATACACAACGATCTCAGATCATCAGAAGGCAATGTGATTAATCTTCCTTCATTTTGTATTTTCCATGTGTACCATATTGTTACCTCATTATATATATGATGATATAATGTATTATGCTGTGGGGGCTTGTGCAGGTACTAGAGGAGGAGATGTCATCGGCTGAGCACCGACGATGTGCAAGACATATCTATGCAAATTGGCGCAAGAAGAATGGGGGAAACGATTGTCGCAAGCAATTTTGGATGTGTGCAAAGTCAACTACAATCCTGCAATTTAAAAAACAGCTCGAGGAATTGGATAAGATGAGCAAGATAGGAAAGGCTGATTTGATGAGGATTGCTCCAAAATATTGGTGCAAGGCTCACTTTAAAACTATATGCAAGTCAGATATTGTAGATAATAACTTGTCAGAAGCATTTAATGGATCGATATTGGAAGCTAGACACATGTCTATCATATCTATGCTTGAGGATATTAGAGAGAAGATAGTGACAAGAATGCGTGAAAAAAGAGATGCATGTCAAAGATGGAAAAGGGACATTGCGCCAAGGATATTAGAGAAGATAGAAGGCAATAAAAAAGAAAGTGCCTTTTGTCATGTGCTTTGGAATGGAGAAGATGGATTTGAAGTACGCCATAGGAATGATAAATTTGTAGTGGACATAAAAAACAACTCTTGTTCTTGTAGGGCATGGGACTTGAGTGGGATTCTATGCCCTCATGCAATCTGTGTCATACTATTCAAAGGGGAGGAGGTAGAAACTTTTGTCGCCCACCGGTATAAGAAGGATACCTATTTAAAGACATACATTTACTATTTGGAAGTAATGAATGGCGATAACCTGTGGCCTTCTAATGATAGAGAACCTTTGGTGGCACCAATGCCTCGGGTTATGCCTGGTAGGCCTAAACAGAAAAGGATAAGAGAGGAAGGAGAATCTAAAAATGGATTCAAAGTGTCAAGACGAGACACAAAAATCACATGCCATTTGTGCTTCAAGCGAGGCCACAACTCAAGAAGTTGTCTATTGAAACAAAAAGAAAAGGTAAGGTTTATTCATTCTATGTCTCTAGTCTTTGTTTGTGTCAATATTTTTAACTTCATTTTCTTAATCAATAGGATGAAGAGATTGAGCATTTGACATTTGATTGATTATAGGTATAGCTTTATGGTAGTAAACTTGTTGTTATGTAAACATTTGACATTTGATTGATTGATGCTTTTCTTTTGTCTAGCAGCAAAAGGCGGACATTATGAAAAAGAAACAAGAAGAACGGAACAAGCCATTGAGCATTTGAACGATATTGGAAGTGTTGGATCAACAAGATCTCCAAGAAAGAGGAAAATTTACCAGAAGTAGGTGTTTGAAAAGTTGGAAGTCGGATTAGTACTTGTACTTTTTGTTGATATGATACTCTTGAATTTAATTTAAGATCAAGATATAGAGATTGTTTTTTTTTTTTGTAGTTTTGGAAGTGTTTAAGATGTGGCAATGATGCTGTATAGAGCACAAGCATTCTGGGCAAGAAATATTTGCTTTATGGCTCCGTTCGTTTCACGGAAAATAACTTTCAAGAAAATGTTTTCCGGTATTCGTTTCACGGAAAATAACTTCCCACGGAAAACATTTTCCTATTGACAAAACTCCTTCACTTTTGAGGAAAATGACTTCCTCTTTCTCAAAAGAGGAAAACATTTTCCCGTAAGCCTTCTTTCACCATTTATTTTCACTATTTTCTTTTTCTTTTTTTTTTTTCCTTCTTCTTCTTCTTCCTTAGTCGGTCACCGGCCATGGTGATAGCCGGCGACCGGCTAGCTTGAGCCTTGCCAAAGGTCGGCAAGGCTCCGGCTTGCCTGATCTGGCGCGGCCGAGCTAGCCTGAGGTTACCGGACGTCGGCGAGGCTTTGGCGACCTCGGGCGAGGCTCGAGCCTCGCCTAGCTCACCAAATCTGGTGAGCTCAGCCGCACCGAATCAGGTGAGTCGAAGCCTCGCCATTGCCGGCCTGTGGCGAGGCTCGAGCACGCCGGCGGCCGTGGCCGGTTGCTGGTGACCTGCCAGAGAAGAAGAAGAAGGAAAAAGAAAAAAAATAAAAATAAAAATATTTTTAATAAATAAAAATTATTAAAAGTATTGCAAGGTGGAAATTTTTTTTTCATGCCGAACAACGAAAAATATTTTCCGAAACTTTTTCAGATTTCACCCGAATACCGGAAAATTATGTCATTTTCTAGGAAAATGACTTCTGAGAAAATATTTTCTAGAAACGTAACATTTTTCGCGAATGAGCATAGCCTAAGTAGTATATTCAATATTTGAAAAGTGCAGTTGGCCTTATTTTCGTCTACTTTGTTGATGTTAAAGAGTACATTCAATACTCTTGAATAGTTGGCTTGCGGGGCTCGTTTGTTTGTAAAAATTTTGTTGCGTTTGATCGCTGCCACTTCAGTAAAATGGGTCTCAATTACCAGAAAGTAGACATGGCCACGGGCCGGTTTTGGCCCGGAACCAGCCTAGGTCAAACCTGGGACCGGCCCGTTGACCGGGCCTGCGGTTCGGAACCGGAACCGGCCCGTGGCCTACGGGCCCAGTTTCGGTTCCAACAATTTTGGAACCGGCCCGGAACCGCCGGTTCTGGGCTCGGTTCCAAAAAAAAAAAACTTTGATTATATTTTAAGTTCAAGCCCCATCTCTTTCTCTCTTTTTTTCCCCAAATTTAATTACAATGTACATTTTGATTACATTTTATATTGAATAATTTATTATTTCATAATTTGATAATTCATTATTTTTTTATTTCATAATTTATTTTTTTAATTTTTACCAACCGATTCCGAACCAGGTCGGAACCGAAACCGGCCCAGAACCGCCGCTTCCGGTTCATACATGGCCACGAACCGGACCGCTGACTCCGAACCGTGGCTATGTCTACTAGAAAGAGTTCTAAATGAAGGTAATTTCGGTTTTTATCTCTCAAATGGTTTGATAGCCATATGCATGTCATTTGCATATCTCCCAATTCTGTCTTTCAACTTTTAGAGGTGTAAGATCATATTGAGAAGGCTTTGTTAACAATAACAAGCCAAGCTTGTTTAGAGGTAGATATGAATTTTCTTTCCTCGCAACATCGACAAATTTTCGTTCTAAGAACACCAATTTTCATTGCAAACACGAATAGTGAATGAGTTTAACATTTTCATTCCTAAAAAACAATTATCCATTGTAACAAATCAAGATCACCAAATGCTAATGTCGCCTCCTCGCTATATGTTCGCTGTTAACATATCTGACTGTGTGAGCTTGATTGATGTCGGATTGGAAAGAGATTGTGATAGACCAAATCACAGAGGAGAAGTTGATGGAGGGAAGAATTGTGAATTGAATTCAGAAATCATCTCCTTTTGCTCCTTTGCGCTGATATGGTCAAAGCCCCTTTTTTTCCTTCTCCTCTAGTGACACTACTGCTTGGTGCCAAATCACCACATAGGGTTTCGGCTTCAGGTGTCAAATTGAGTCTTCATCTCCACTTTTGTTCTTTTTCTTTCTTCAACTGTCGTACGCCTTCTTACTTTTTTGTTTCTGAAATTTTGGTCAGTCAATTTTTTTGCTTCTCAGAAGCAAGTCCTTCAACCCACAAAAAAAAGAAGCATGTCCTTTGACCCCCAAAAAAAAAGAAGCAAGTCCTTCAACCCACAAAAAAGAAGAAGCAAGTCCTTCAACCCACAAAAAAGAAGAAGCAAAATTCCAGAACAAAAAAAGCATACCAAACACAAACTCGCATTCAAGCTATACAAAACGCGAACTCTTTCGAAATTTCAATTCCTCAATGCTCACACGGTTCTCACTTCCTTCCCTCGTTTTTATTTCTGATTGAGCGGATCACGCACAGGCAGTGGCACACCCTCCAAGAACCCAAGATTTGAATCGTCGCCGGGATCGACCTCAACCCAACCCTCTTCATTTCAATATCGATCCAAGCATTTTGAGAAGTCTGATGTTGAGAGGATGAAGAATCATTGAGGAGGAAGAAGAGGGTTATTTGAAGCCCCAATTTGTTTTTCTTTTGTAAAATACTTGCTGGATCATTATTTAGTAATCCATCTTAGCTCCACATCATCAGTTAACGGTCCACGTCATCAGTTATGGTTTGAACAAACGGAAGGACTAGATTGAACGTTTATCCATAGTTCAGGGACCATTTTGGATAAATTGAAAATTTAGGAATGAGATTGAATATTGGATCAAAGCTCAGGAACTATTTGTGTTATTTTCCAAAAAACGATTATGTGCTTCGAGATTTTGATCTAATGAAATCCCTCAAGCGAGTCTGACTTTACTAATCAATGTACTCAGAGTCAATATTTGTGGACCATTCATTTTACTTTAATGAGCTGACTATAGCGAAAGCAAAATGCAAAAAATTAGCACAAGTTGGCACTTTGAGGTTGTGAGCTTCCTGGTTGGATCCATCAGCTAAAATTTACCGGGTAGAAGCAAAATTAGCACAAGTTTGTCTTGCCAAGAGTTTAAATACCATTTCTTGGACCGCCCTCGATGGGTGTGGAGAAGCTTTGAGCTCTTCGAGATCTTGCCTAGACTGAGTAAAGTGAGAAAACATAGGGATAGGGTCTTTGTGTGGTGGTGTCAACTCTGTGGAGGAGCCAATGATGGGAAAATTGTCTAAAAAGTCATAAACCTATTGCACTTTTGCCAATTCAGTCCTAAACATTTTATGTTTGCCAATTGAGTCCTAAACCTTTTCATTTCTTGCCAATTGAGTCCATCCGACCAATTTTGGACAGAAATCACTAACGTGGACGCCGGCCGGCCACGTGGTGCTGACGTGGACAATTTTAAATAATATTTTAATAATTTCTGAATTTTTTTATGATTTTTTTCTTTTTTTTTCCTTTTCTCTGTTTTTTTTTTTTGGGTTTTGGAGTTGGCCAGCGAGGGTGGCCGGCTGACCCTCGCCGGCTCTAGGGGATGAGGGCATCGCGGCCCTCGCCAGTGGCCGACGAGGGTTGGCCGGCCACCCTCACCGGCCAACTCTAAAACCCCCAAAAAAAAGAGAAAGGAAAAAGAAGAAGAAAAAAATCATAAAAATTCAAAAAAATATTTAAAAATGTCCACGTCAGCACCACATGGCCATCCGGCGTTCACGTCAGTGATTTCCAATCAAAATTGGCCGGATGGACTCAATTGGCAAGAAGTGTAAATGTTTAGAACTCAATTAGCAAACTTGAAAGGTTTATGACTGAATTGGTAAAAGTATAATAGGTTTAGGACTTTTTGGACAATTTTCTCGGCCGATGACAGATTTCGACAGCGTTGGCCAAGAAGGAGAATGGCGACAGCGGCGGCAACTGTGGGATGGGGAGCGTGTTGGTGAGCGTATAGTAGAAGCCCGGTACCTTTACACCAAGAGGAATCCTATGTCAAATCTTGTATTCAAGGTTTTGTGTCCACAAAACACAGATGAAACTATTCCGCGTTGACTGAAAAGAAAACGCATGTTGTGACTGAAGCGCGGCTCTTCTTGCTTCGTACGGAGACGAATTTTATAGCTGTCATATTTTGATTCCACGAACATGGACTTCGACTAAAGAGGGTAAGGCCACTTTTTCTTAAACATGCGAACTTGACTGAGGATACTTTCTAGTTAAACCTAGCTTAAAGTGCAATAATCCATGTGAAGTTCACGTCCTAAATCTTCCAGAAGACAAATAAAGAAATCATACTCGCTGTTTCAACGTGTAATTCAATTCGATTTGATCAGAGCGATTGTCCCGATTACTTTATTAGCCATTCTAATACACACTCAAGATGGATTTACATGTGCATGTATATAGGAAGATAATAGATTGATCTGGAACCGTGTCTTTGCCACGAAGGAGCTATAAGCATTTATGGTTTGTGAAGACAACTTTATATTAATTTTCCTTGACCTTTTGAGTGAAGATATGTCAATGACAAAGTTCGAGTCTTACCATTCTCGGGCAAAGAACAGCACCAAACGCGTATTTGCATGCATGCCTGCATCGTTTTTAGCAGAGAAGCACAAGCGGCCAACGCTCCATTCAAAATCCATCACCTTCAACATCGTCAGCTCCGAGTGACATTGTGTGTGCGTGTGTTGGAGACTTCTCTCTTCACCAACTCATCCTCACATGACACCTCCTCTAAAACCCTATAAATGGTGGTGCGATTTCGTGCTACTACTGTGCAATCCTAGGTAGCTCCAAATCTCTAATAGATAGTGATCTCTCTCGTGCAAATTTACTTGGAAGACAATGAAGAATATAGCTACCTTTCTCGGGTTTGTTTTTCTTCTCTCTCTGGCTTTGGGTGATCTGAAGGT